TCTTTCCAAAATAGCTCAAATCCTCTAAATTCATATTAAATGATCGAGCGAGAGAATCTAGTAAAATCAGATAACAAAAAGAATCAAGTTTTCAGTTTGAGCTTAGTACTTAGTACATTTTGCTCAAATATTTATGTAGCTTAAGGAGAGTCGAGCCTCCGACAGCTACCAGTCAGTCAGCACTTGCCTAGCAGTAGCAGCTTAACAGGTGGGGGTCACGTACTGGTTATACATCGTCTTCAATTTTCGTACCATGTCCGAGGTATGTATGAGATAGTTAGATCACCATGAGGGAGGCTGTGGCGGGCCTTAATGATCCCCCGTGGTTCTGAGGGAGGCCTTAATTGGCCTTAATGATCCCCCGGAGTGTGCACATGATTGGCTTGTAAGCCCCAGGGTCTTTATGACCACCAGATGCCCCAGTTACAGTTTCAGTTCAGATTAGTTCTTATATACTTAAAGTCATGATATTGTTATTAACGATGTTGTATAATTAAGTACTGGTCTTTGCGGAGCATAGTGGTTTTGCTCACGCCCCCATTACGTTTTTCAGGTGACGGAGCGGCGCGTGGCGCTTGAGATTTCAGTGGTGGTCGTGGTCATTAGCAGTCTTTTTGTTACGCATTTACATGTCACTTATATGAACATGTATTACTATTACTATGCGTAGACATATTATGTTTCAACTTCCGCACATCTCAGACTTAGTTTGTATTATAAGATTATCAGACTTATGCATGTATAATGCCTTTATCTCCGTGGTACCTTTATATAACGGATTTGATTAGGTTGCATGTATTGATTTACGTCTGCATGAGAAAGAGTTTAAGTTAGTAGCATCCCGCAAGTTAGTATGAGTATTTTTGAAAATAAAGTTAAAGAGTTTTTTTCGAAAATAAAAAGCAAAAGTTTTACTCTGATTTTTTAAATTCTAGAATAATTAGGCGGGGTGTTACAGTTCATCTTCTATACATACTCATTTAAGCATCGGAGGATCTTCACCGGAGAACTCCTCCGGCGGGAGTTTTTGTAGGTACGAAGCGTTCTACCAGCGAGGAAGAATATTAGGAAACCATTTCCAGCCGGTCAGAGTATTCTATGTTACCTTTATATGTATAATTGATCTTGTACATTATTGG